GTGTCAAGCTCCTCATCCCCACGAATGGCTAGCTGCAGATGTCTTGGAGTGATTCTCTTCACTTTCAAATCTTTGCTAGTGTTTCCGGCCAACTCAAGAAATAACTAAATTTTCTTTCCCATGATTTTAATCTGGCAGAGCCTAAAATATTCAGCTTGAATCAGAGGCATGACACTCGTGTCCATCAACATTAATTTTTGTTCCTCCTTCAATTTCTTGAGTTGTATCTTATCTTTATCATGAGCTAGTCTCTCTTATTCAACAGTCAATCGCTCTTTATCATGAGCTAGTCTCTATTATTCTTGAAGATATGATTTTTCCATGAATTCAACATTCTTCTCCATCAACATCTTTTTCTCCTCCTTCATTTCTTTAAACAATTTCACGAAATAGGTTGAACTTGAATTATCGCCTTCAGAGAGTTTGCTCTTTGACTTTCTTGCTTGCTCTTTCGCAGCCTTCCTTCTAGTTGGCCTTTCCAAGCCCCCACTGTCGTCTTCTATGTTTTCATATTCTAGTGTTGAAAGATTAGAGCTGCTAGGAGTTGCACCATCTTTTGTTTTTTGCTTCTTAGACTGAGAATTCTCCATCTATTTTGGTCGATACCGTAACTCATTCCAACAATGTTCAAATAGAAAATAGCATTTATGAAGTTCCTTGTACACCTTCTTTGCATCATGGACCTGAAAATTGTACAATAATACTGTGTATCAGAAAACAAAAATGTCTTATTTTCACACTTGTAATTAAAATGCACCCAAACCTTGTCTTTCTGAGTCGTATCACTTTGATTCAACCTTTCAATTTGGTCAAAACAACCACAAAATTTCTTGGTGGCTAGTTGTCAACCGACGATTCACCAAAGAAACTTGATTGCGATTACAATCTGACTAGGATTTATATTCGTTGAAGTACTCCCAAACCTTTCGCCTCAAATCTTTTTGGTGGTGGATTCTATTTGAGGTGATATTTGTGAAGAATGACTTATTTGGTCTACTGATTGAGTATTAACCTCATCTACGTTTGTTCCGTAGTTCAAGAGATTGGAGAAGTAATATCCATATTCAAATGGTTCCATATGTAATGCCTAGAATTCAACCCAAAACATATAGAATTCATGTAATTCAAACCAAAGCATACTATAACAATAATTCTAATCAACCACATGAGAAAGGACACACTTCAATAAAGCATTGATACTGGTGGAATTAATAGGTTACACCACTAGTATTATCAGAAACATATCCCTGCTTAAGATCTAGAGATTCAAGAAATGAATCTAAGGCACTCCTCTATCCATGCATTACAGCCAAATTTGTATCCATAATTGAAACAACCCATAATTGAAACATGTACTTGCCACCATACAAGATTGACAACCTGCTATGCAACTGGAACACTAAAACAGATCCCTCTTTTATCAAATTTAATAGCTAGAAACAAAATTGGCATGACAATTTATGTGTTCCTTCTCAAAAAAAAATATCTTTAAAAGGAAAAAATAATCTTTAATGTTCAATGGTGGCTAGAAGAAAAACTGACAGGTAGATGGTTCTTCAAGAGCTCCTAATACTTTTGGCTAGACATTCAGCCCCATATCTGTATTCAATGCTCACTAGCGTGTGAGCAAACGAAGGTATTTCTCCATCTAGAAATCTGTATTTTCTATTTCAACATAGGAAGATTAGTTACTAAACTTTCAATTCCATCAAGCATCCCCCAAGTTGATGGTTGCAAGCACACACTTATGAAAAAATCTGTGTGTTCTTTCTCCCTAGGAACAAGTTGCCATGAAAATTAATACAACTTGAAGGACACTAGTCTTCACTCCGAATTAAGGATCAAAATGCCAACAAGTTCTTCTAAACATGTCCACTTCATTACTAATTTAGTACATGAGTTTTCAAATTTCACTCAGAGTCATATTGATACATTATGGAAGCTCATAGCTCTAAACATTTATATTCAGGTCACAGAACTAGCACACACCCACATCACACACACAACAGACAACTGTAGTTCATAGATATACATAAACTAATTTGATTTTCTCATGCTAGAATAAGACTAACATATTCCAACTCCTTAATTTCACAGAGCCTATACCTCCTCAGCCAAAAATGAAATACCTACAAAATCTATATAACAATAAAAAAAACTAACACATGATTCTATATAAATCGAGTGCATATCTCATTGAGGCAATTCATCAAACATATTGTGAACAACGAAAGGAAACACATCTCAAAAAATTTCAAGAAGTCCATATATTTGCATACATATCCAACACAATGGCTCCCAATCACAGAAAGCAAGGGAAAACTTATATTGGAGGAAGGAAGACATACCTGAAGGAGGAAAGAAGACTGATTCACAGTGTGTGTCATTGCACAGAAATGATAAGTGTCGTTGTGCAAAAATAGAGCAGAGCGGCTAAATAGAGAGAGACCAAGCAGTAATTGATGAGCAATTGGCCTCTCCAGACTAGCGAGGAGGCTGGCCAGTGGGTTGGAGCACCAATTTNACAAAATTGGCATGACAATTTATGTGTTCCTTCTCAAAAAAAAATATCTTTAAAAGGAAAAAATAATCTTTAATGTTCAATGGTGGCTAGAAGAAAAACTGACAGGTAGATGGTTCTTCAAGAGCTCCTAATACTTTTGGCTAGACATTCAGCCCCATATCTGTATTCAATGCTCACTAGCGTGTGAGCAAACGAAGGTATTTCTCCATCTAGAAATCTGTATTTTCTATTTCAACATAGGAAGATTAGTTACTAAACTTTCAATTCCATCAAGCATCCCCCAAGTTGATGGTTGCAAGCACACACTTATGAAAAAATCTGTGTGTTCTTTCTCCCTAGGAACAAGTTGCCATGAAAATTAATACAACTTGAAGGACACTAGTCTTCACTCCGAATTAAGGATCAAAATGCCAACAAGTTCTTCTAAACATGTCCACTTCATTACTAATTTAGTACATGAGTTTTCAAATTTCACTCAGAGTCATATTGATACATTATGGAAGCTCATAGCTCTAAACATTTATATTCAGGTCACAGAACTAGCACACACCCACATCACACACACAACAGACAACTGTAGTTCATAGATATACATAAACTAATTTGATTTTCTCATGCTAGAATAAGACTAACATATTCCAACTCCTTAATTTCACAGAGCCTATACCTCCTCAGCCAAAAATGAAATACCTACAAAATCTATATAACAATAAAAAAAACTAACACATGATTCTATATAAATCGAGTGCATATCTCATTGAGGCAATTCATCAAACATATTGTGAACAACGAAAGGAAACACATCTCAAAAAATTTCAAGAAGTCCATATATTTGCATACATATCCAACACAATGGCTCCCAATCACAGAAAGCAAGGGAAAACTTATATTGGAGGAAGGAAGACATACCTGAAGGAGGAAAGAAGACTGATTCACAGTGTGTGTCATTGCACAGAAATGATAAGTGTCGTTGTGCAAAAATAGAGCAGAGCGGCTAAATAGAGAGAGACCAAGCAGTAATTGATGAGCAATTGGCCTCTCCAGACTAGCGAGGAGGCTGGCCAGTGGGTTGGAGCACCAATTTTATACTTTCGCTCACCAAAATAGCTAAAAGGGTTGTTTGTTGAGCAGCCTTGAAGATGCTATTACTTCAACAAAGATTTTGCTTAGCTACTTATATTCTACATTATGTACGTTTGTAAGTATGCATTTGTGCTAAATTCAGGGCTGGGAATTGTCAACCACTAGTTGAGAAGATCACTTCCAAGGTGAGTTCCTAGTTCAACAAATCACTTTCATATGTTGGCAAAGTATAATTGATTAACTTAGTTCTCTTTTCCATTCAAGTATATTGGATTTCTATATTTATATTGTCAAAAAAATTTGTCAAAGCAGTGGAACAAATAATGAGAAGATTCTTATGATTTGGGACGGATCTTAAAATGACTGGAGCCAAGGTGGCTTGGGACAAAATGTGTCTCCCGAAGAAAAAGGGGGACTTGGGTTTAAAAGCATGGAACATTGGAACAAAACAACTGTTATGAAACATCTATGGAATGCTACAAGCAAAAGTGACAACTCAATATGGGTGGATTGGATTTATACATATCTACTGAAAGGCATGAGCTTCTGGAGTGTAAAAGTTCCTCAACAGTCATCATGGGCATGGAGAAAGATTCTAAATCTGAAAATGGAAAGTTTAGCAATGGTGAAATACAAGATATGGAATGTTGACTCAACATTTCTCTGGTTTGATCCATGGCACCCAATAGGTTTTATCTACCAGCATAAGGGAGAGACTATTATTAGGGAATCAGGACTTGTGAGAGATGCTAAAGTTAGTTCTATCATAAATAATGGTGACTGGGACTAGCCGGCAACAAATGGGGACATAATAGAGCTGCAAAGAGGTATTACTACTAATATGAAACCTGACCTGAATCAGAGGGACTGTGTCCTATAGCTGCCATCTAGAACTTAGATTATTTTCTCCAAATCTGCTTGGGAGGTAATTAGAGTGAAAGGCCAAATGCAAGCTTGAGCTAATATTGTCTGTTATCCTGGTGTTGTGCCTAGAAACAGTTTTATTTTATGGCTGGCTATTCAAAATAGATTTTCCACCCAAGACAAACTCATCTCATATGGTCTTATTCAAACAACTCAGTGTGTTTTATGCAGAGAAGTAGTGGAAACTCATCACCACCTCTTTTTTCAGTGCCCCTTTACTGATATAATATGGATTTCATTGAAAGGCAAAGTTAATGTTCAATGGCCAAGGTTTGATTGGCCAAATTTGGTTAACTGGTATACTGCAAATATGAAGGGAAAGGATTTTCCAAAGTTGATTGGCAAATTGATGCTTGCCACCTCAATATATATAATTTGGAGGGAGAGGAATCACAGGGTGTTTAAAAACTCCTATAGAGATGTTGCATCCATTTATAAGGAGATTGTGGAAAATCTTAGGCTCAAGCTTCATGCCGGCTGTGGAATAAAAAGAACCATTCCCAATGCATGGCTGGAAAGACAATGGGCCTTGCCTGACAAAATATTTGATTTCACTGAATGTGGCTGATTTTACTGTGGTGTTTGGCCTTGCCTGTGTGGAATGCTTGTGATCCGGTTGATTGGGTGTTTTCTGGGATTGTGGTTGAACTGTGGCGATATGGGTGTTGGTACTGCTGGATTTTTATTTTTTTTGCTAGCATGAACAGTATCATTGTCTGTGGAGAATGATGGGAGGGTGTGATGCTCTGTTTTGCATCAATGTTGTGATGGGATGGCTTTCCAGCTGTTTGTTTTTTATGTTCTGTTGCTTAGGTTTGGAGCTTCCTTGGGCATTCTCTTTTTTTGTTTTTTGGGATCTGCTTATGTCTTGTTGCTGGAGTGCCCAATGGAGCTGCAAGACCCTTAACAAGAAAAACCAATGGGCAGCTTGTTTCTTGTGTTGTTCATGATGTTTCTTGCTGCGGGTCTGCCCACAGGTCTGCCCTCATTTGGCATGAATAGAGTCTACTAGTTATTGGTTTGTTTAGGATTGAGGATAATAGGTCTTTTTGTTGGATTGATGATCTTTCATCCTCTTTTTTTGTAAGTATCCATTACACATACGGTATACGTGTATTTTTCTTCGAATTTATGATATCACTTACTTACCGAAAAAAAGTATGTATTTGTGCACCCATCTCTTTGGGGCAAATTTTACTGCAAAAGATGGTTGTTAGCTGTGGAACCCGGATCAACATGCTTTTCCATTCTGCTATTGATATATTTGATAAAATGTTAATCCCTTGTCTAATCAAGAATATAACACTACACTCGGTGTTGCTGATTTTCTGTCAAGTGAATGTCGTCTTGGCCTTAATGATGTAATTTTTCGCTTGTCCACGTCATTTCTTTGAACTCTGTCCCACCATCTCATAAGTCTAAAGATTTACAACAAACTGACACATTTTATTTGGATGGCCTTCTTGTTATGAAATTTTGTGATTGATAGACCTTACAAAAATTTGAAGATGCTTTGCTTCCATTTCCAGAAGGAACTGAACTAGATGGCAAAATAGTTCATGTTACTTCTGCTACCCGACAATGCATCACTAAGCTGCATAATTTTTTTGAGACATGTATGTCTGATGATTTGCACACACCAACCACAGTGGATGCTGCAGTTACTAAAGCCTTGAGATTAATGAATCATCTTTTGAACCTGCTCAAGGTATGCACATGGATTAGTTGAAACTTCTCTCCCCCTCTCTCTCTCACTCAAAAGATTTGTACGCAGAAGCAACGTAGTTATCAATTATTAAGTCCCTCACTGAGTTGGAGAAAGAAGTCAGGGAAGTATTGAACGTTCTGGGACTGCTGTCGAGTTCAACTTATTCTGAGGTGCTGCAGAAAATAGAATAATTACTGTATCTGTCTATAAAAATCTTGTTCTGGTAAAAACAATTCATGGAAGAAGTGACATGTGGTGGTGGACAGGTTTTGTGGCAACTAATAGATAAAGCATTGAAAAGAGCAAAGTTAACGGAAGATGATGTTTCACATCTTATTGAGGAAAGAGCAGGGAAATAGACCTAAATAATTCTAGAGTTTTCTATCTTTAGACCTAATTAAATACAACAAAACATGATCCAAACACACTAATATTTTATGACCCAATTATAAACATAACATTTTTTAGCCCAAATACAAAATAACACAACAAAGTATTAATTTTAACATTCTGTTCTTAAATATTTCTAAAATGATTATTATAACATGTGGAGTTGGATATATATTGTTCGATGCTTGCTTGCGGATTGTTGTATGCATGGATACCTGTGTGTGGATTGCTATGTACTTGCTGCATGGCTGGTACGGGCACTAAACTAGACACTGAAAAGGTATGTTGCGTGACTATGCAATGGGTTGCAATTATGTGTAGGCTGTGAAACATCAAATGTCAGGGGACATGGTGTTCGAATGTGTTCATGTTTTATAGAGAGTGAGGGGTATTTATAAATCAGATGGCCCTAGCTTGGACTAATTTTGACATCATCTTTTGCTACATATTTATGTTCTACAAGAATTTCCTTGTCAGTGTGCTTTTTAGGTGTTGCTACAATATCGATAATATTGTGAATTTCTATAATTTAATGTTGTATTAGTTCCAGTGTACTATATTGAAAAGCATCCATGTTAAGAAGTGCCACTACTTCTTGTGGTTTGTTAAAATGATCCACCAACACTCTCCAGTGGACCTAAAGAAAGAATTAGTCTTCAGTATCATAGAGAACCTTGAGCAAATCACACAAACTCCTACTAGTAAGCTTGATTCTTGTTCCTTTGACCAAAGAGATTGCATGCCTCAATATTTCCTCCATTTTTGTCTCACAATGGCAATGCTCAATAAGAATAGGGTTAGGTCCATTGAGTTACGAAGGAATAGCAATGAATAGCATCATATTTTCCTCTTTTCCTTGCTCATTAAGAGAGAAATCATGTGGGACAATAATCGTATTTGGAAGCATATTCTTGGAGATAAGATCCCATTGTCTTTCCATTGCTCCTTACATGTAGCCCAATGCCTTTTCCTTTCCTCTCTCATTGGTTCCAAGTGTAATGCCTAAGAATAAAGGTTTTATGACAAATGTATGTGTATCCATACACCATTTCTTGAAAATCACAAGACAGGGAAGAACTTCTAGAACGAAAAAATAAACTCTAAAGTTGGCGCATATGTCATTGGCTATCTTGTAATTCAGTTTTATGGCCTCATTGATTTAATCGTGCTTGCACGGTTATCAAATTGGAGCACTAGCTGTGAACTATTTTATCAACCCCGTGATAACTTTCTACTGATGCTTTTTTGAGGTGAACAGCTTGTTTGCTTACAATGCTCCTTTTATCCTTAAACATAAAGGCATAATCTTTTCCTTGCAGTTTAAGCTTGAAGATTGATCAATTAAAGCAACAAATGATATGGGAAGCGAATGGATGCACATATGGATATCAAAATATCTTTATCAGTGAAACTTAACTATGCTTCAAATTGTATGTATCTTTTTACGTTATGAAAAAAGTGATAACTATAAATTTAAGAGGGTAATATCAATTGTGAGAACTATGGTGCATGATCTGAACCCAGTTTACCATAAGTAATGTTCACCATTTAAATGTCAAGGTGTGTTGGAATTGTTACTAGCTTAGTCTCATCCGAGAGCTTAATCTCCTTGTACTACTTATTTTCAAAGACTAAAAAATAAGGAAGCTTAAATAGGCTTCACATATATGAGATGTTACTCAACTACCAGTAATGAATATAACTGGAATAAAGAAACTGAGAAGCATGCATAAGTCACTGAAATGTAAACTAACCAATGAAATCATGATGAATTTAACACTATGTGATTACATTAATAACCACCCATTAATTGAACACTATGTGCATCCAAAGAACCTCCTAAAATCTTTTGGCTTCCAAAGAGGCTTCAATCACATCCAATCGAAAAAGGGAGAGAAATCCCTATGAAGAAGCTTACAATGAGAGAGAGAAGAGTCGGGGAAAAGAGATTGTATGAAGCAGAAAGAAGAGTTACAAAGAAAACTAGACTGGGAACTGGGTTGTGTCCGAAGACTTGAAGGCACAAGATTCCCTAATATTTATAAAGTTGGGGTAACCACTTGACATCTTTGATGTACAACTATTTACATCATGGTTTTGTTTCTGAATTTGCATGAGGCAGTAGCGTTAGCTCTGGTTTTTATAATTGCATTGGCATTTACTTTTTGATAAATAATATATTTTTACACTTCGTCTTGCCCCCAAAACCAACGTGTACCATCAATTTGTGCTCTAGTTAGCTCCGTCAGCACCAGTGATTTGATTTTCATGTGCATCTAACCTCTTTTTCGCTTCTTTAACTTTTTAACTATCCAGGGTGTTTTCTGGCAGTGCAGTAAACGTGATTGAATAGATTATGTATGATTGGAGATTAGAATTGAGCTACAAAGCTTTAGTGATTCTGGTCAAACAACTTTTTGGGTAAGAAGGGAGAGATTACACTAAAGAATTTTAGTGGTTCGCTAATTTGGGAGCTCAGCTAGTCCATTCTTTTAAAGGAGTATCTTGCTCCAGATGCTTTTATTGAAGATGGATAACAGGATACAAAATATTCTTCATTCAGAAGGGATTGCTTGCCCTCGAGTGAGGAATTTTTACAGTATTTATAACCTAGTTCTTGATTCAAAGGAGTTTACAACAAGATTTTCGTCTTTCCCTTGCAACGTCTCGCTTGATTCTAGGCAATGGTTATGGCGTTAAGGATCTTTCGCCTAGACTGACGGATCTTGTTGTTGAGGAGGCGCATTGTGGTTTCCAGCTATCTTCTGTGTGTTTTCTTCTGGGTCCAAGTTGAGGGTGTCCCGGACCTGGTCTGTCGAGCTCAGGATCTCCTGGTTGAGCTCCCTTCTTGGCCTCCACTCCCGAGCCTAAACTTGAAATTTCTTTTAGGTATCTTCAGTTGCCCCTAGTCCCTGGTCAAAGTGGGCTTGAGCAGGGGCTGAGCTAAGTTTGAGTCGAGGCTAACTGACTTGATCCGAAATATGTACACCCTACTGCAGGCGGTCAAGTTATAGTAATAATTCGATTAAGTCCAGAGTCAAATCCACAAGGAACTATGATTAATATTTTGAAGTAAGCAATAATAGAGACCAAGTGACTGCAAATTTTGAGAATTTGAAGTTGTGGAGTTTTCTAGACAGAATATAAGATTTTCCAATGGATCTTTTTTTAGACAAAGTATAAGATAAATTAGCAGAGATAACAACCATTCTTTAGTTCGAAGATTAGAATACGTAATTGATTATCCGATTTATTATATTTGTGCTTTAAAACTCAATTAACTCCTGTGTTAACAGCAAGTTAATCGGAAGATAAAGACAGACTGTGAGAATTAAGTACATGATTCCGATGCTTTTCTAGAAGTTTACAAGAATTGTCTGTGCCGAGACTTAACCCGTGTACAAACAAGCAAGTGTTTCTACAAGACATCCAATCATGGCATTAATGTTCCATTATTTGAATAAAGAGCAATAATGGTGGAGATTGAAAGGTTATCGTGAAGAGCTAGCCGAGGTGCTTACCTTGAACCGATGGGTCTTTCTATGCACGAGTCCTCCGTATCATAGAAAAAGCCCTTGGTTGTACAAAGTATCTTAGCTTTGCTAGATGCATTCAATCATCCAATAAAGGAGTTACACAAACATAACTTCTGGATAATCTTTACATATTCATCACCTCTTACTAAAGAGTGAATGAGGAACTATTCACTCTTCATGACCTTAACAAAACTAGAAAAGTGAATGATACTCATCTCTACAAGCAGAGGAACTACTAAGTGAAGCAAACTAAACAAAGAGCTTATATTCAATGAAGAATAAGTGAATCATATTCCACCCTTCACGGCTTTGGTAAAACTCTAGAAAAGTGGAAGAGTTTCACTATTCTAAGAAAGAAAGAAGCTCAAGCAATGGAAGTGAAATACATAGACAATAAAAGTATAAGAAAGCTAGTTACTCTTGGAGGGTGGTTTCCTCAACCAAAAGATGGAGGGTTGCTTCCTCAACCAACAAATGGAGGGTTACTTCCTCAACCAAAAGATGTAAGACAAGCAAATATAACAAACATCTAAGATTGATCAAAATGAGTGGGAGTCAAAGCCTCCATACAAGCTCCTTACTAATTCTTGGTGTAGTCTAAGCCTACAAACCAACCTCTAGCTTCCTAATTTACAAGAAAAAATTGCACACCTTCAAGCTCCCCAACATAGGAGTATTTATAGGCAAGGAAGGGGAGGGGGGAAAACAAGAAAATAAGAGAGGATGAGTGAATAGTGTATGCCATCCATGAAAATCAACTACTCTGCAGGCATTCTATAGAGGACGTTCGAACGTGAATTGATATTCGAACGTTGTCTTCTATTTTGCTTTAGGGACGTTCAAACGTTGTTTGACGTTCCAACGTGTCTTCTAGTTTTGCTTTAGGGGCGTTCGAACACCAGATGGGATGTGACCACATCACTCAAGTGGTCTTGGTCTTCTGTGGAAACCCACTTCCACACTCCATATAGGGCTTGGAGTTTTGCACTCATCACTCTGATCTTTTTTCAAGTCATGTGGACGTTCAAATAGTAATTGGCATTCGAACGTGATACTCCAGTACTTCAGGGTCCTTCTTCTTGACTGCAACACGCTAGGTCTGAGCATTCTGGTCTCCTCATAGTTCAAGTGGACGTTCGAAAGTGGTTGCTTTGCCCCAACCTTCTCTAATTTTGTTCCCTAATGCACTGGTATCACACTCAAGTGTGATATTTGTTGTTCTTGAGCTTTTGTTCACTTTAGGTCCTGAAATGTCATCACTTAAACTCCATCAAAGCACAATTAGTCCCAAAAAGGCATACGAAAATGCTAACTTTAAGCACTAATCACACCCCCCAACCTAAATATTGCTAGTCTCTAGTAATACAACAACATTGGAATCTAAATCTATTTCTAATGCCTTTTTCGTAGGTCATCCGGTTGCATTTAGCATA